CATGTATATGAAAATTGTACAAGAAAGATCAAAAAAGAACTGATACTTCTGAACTGTGGTGTTAGAGAGTACGGAATACACCACGGGCTGCCAAAAGAATGAATAAATAACTCCAGAAGTCGACCAGAAAGCTCCTTGGAATTTAGGACGGAGGGACTCTGTCTCATGTACTTTGGCCATGTTCCCAGGAGAGCCCAGGTCCTGGAGGACTTCCCTGAGGAGGGGAGCTGACAATGACTCTGAACTCTGCCACAGTGCAACCTGACGTAAGCCCAGAAGAGACAGAGGGGACTGAAAATGATGGGGTCGGGTGCTCTCAGGTCTGCTGCTGATCCTAACCCAGACACTCACCAGAATTCCGAGGCTGTATGTCACACCTTTGTGAGAGGAGGCTGCCAATCTTTGTCCCAAGAGGCAGCTTGTGAGTCTGAACCACCAACCTTTCAGTTACCAGCCCAATATGTACTGTACTGTGCTCCCGGGGCTCCTTATACAATGGACTAAAATCAGCCCTACTACAACTTAGTCAACGACAGTGATTCTGTCAGGAGAGCAGGGCTGTCCCACAAGGTGTGCAAGGCTGGAGTCCTCCAGCGAGGCAATGAGGACTGTGCGGCCAGCCCACAGGCAGGTGGTTCAAATCCACTAGTTACTGCTGGGGAGAAAGATGGGCGCCCTCCTCCCGTGCGATTTTCAGCCTCCGCAAACCCGCCTGAGGGTCAGTGCAGAATCACACCACCGCTAATCTTTCAGGAGGCAGAGTGCCCAGCTTCAGCTGCAGGGTGGCTGGCAGTCTCAAACCGCTGACCTTTCCGTGAGCAGCCAGCATTTAACCTCTGCTACTGAGACTCCTTAGAAAGGCAGAGGGAATGTGAATAAGACAGTATGTTTTCTGGAAAGGTCAGACTAAAAATTATTCAGGATGTGGCCTTTACAGGAAACCGTTCTAAAACGGTGCGTCCAATTTGTCATAAAACACAAGGTAGAGGCTCTTCGGACGTGGTCCAGACGCTCCTTCAGGCCCTGCTCAGTTTCTCTAACGCCGTTCTCATCATCAACGTTCAGCTCTCAGACTGTACTAACTGAATGGCGAGCCTTGTTTCTGACGTTCTGAGCTCTCTACCCGGCCTCGGTCCCACCCCAACCCCAGGAGGTAGGACGAAGTGTGACCTTGGACAACCGGATATGGAGACAAAGTGCTTTTATTCCTGGTTAGGTTTAGTTCCAAAAAGGAAACATTATTAAGAAAACACAGAAAAGGCCTGGATGAGGTGAGCTCTACCAGAAGGCACTGGTCCTGGCCGAGAAGGAAGTGTGATGTGGTCCTGAGCCTGACCAGTGGCCCTGGCTCTGTCCACGAGCTGTTCTCTGAGGTGAGATGGTGTGTGATGTGGTCCTCTGAGCCTGATGCATGGCCCTGGCTCTCTGTCCACGAGCTGTTCTCTGAGGTGACATGGCGTGTGATGTGGTCCTCTGAGCCTGACCGATGACCCTGGCTCTCCATCTGAGGTGACATGGCATGTGGTGTGGTCCTCTGAGCCTGACCAGTGGCCCTGGCTCTCCATCTGAGGTGACATGGCGTGTGGTGTGGTTCTCTGAGCCTGACCGGTGGCCCCGACTCTCTGTCCATGAGCCTTCTCTGAGGTGGTGTGACATGTCATGGGCCACACTGGAAGTGACCGTGTGTTGACCTCCTCACGCTGAGGCAGCCAGGGCCTCCAGAGCAGAGGACACGCTGTGACCACGATGCAGTGCTGACAACTCCAGCTGTGAAGACAATGGAGCCCTGGTGGTGCAGTGCTCTATGTGTTGGGCTGCAGATGGTGGTTTGAATTCACCAGCCGCTCCACGGAGGAAGAGGGGGCCTCTGCTCCCTGAGTGGGAAAGTGGATGGTCATGGGCGACGAGCATGGTGCTGATGGCAGCAGGGGCAGCTGTGTGACAAGACCAGACAGTCGCCCTGCGACTTGTCCTTGAGCTGCTAGGTGCACAGGACACCACCCCAAAATGAGTCCAATCGGTTGCCAAGGAAACCTACCCACCCTATTTGCTAATCTGGAAAGCTGGTAACTGCTAGCCCACCCCTCTGAAAATGAGTCAAATCCCACTCTGCTGTCGAGCCGATTGGATTCGGCACTGCTGAACAACAGGGAAGCGTCCCACAGGGCCTCCCCGGCCCACATCCTCACAGGAGTGTGTGGCCTGAGCCCTGTCCCTTAGCATGGATGAGAGGTTCACGACACAGACCTCCAGGTAGCAGCCAAGTGCGTCACCTCTGCACCACTGGGGCCCCTCGTCACAGTGACCAGAAGCCACTGTGACACCAGCTCTGCCCCGTGCGGCCTCCACGGCCATGATCCCCAGGGAGCACTTTCACTGCTCACCTTGCCCCCATGGAGAAGTTCCAGCATGTGGGCTGGAACTCCTGACGCTCTGGTTAGCAGTACAGTGCTTCACACTGCACCACCAGAGCTCCTAGTCAGATCAAAGCTGCAAGAAAAACACCCTGCTGGGACCACAGACACATCACCCATCCCTCCTCCCTCCTCCCGCCTGCCCAGCCTACACTGGTAACAGCGGCCTGGTGCGACATCTGTCCTGTGCCTGAGACAGCTCCCTCAGCTCTGTAAGGAATGGACGATTAGACATCACACGTATGACAATAACAAGAACTAGACATGCGAAACCAAGTGCATGAGGGAGGAGAAGGGACAATGTGTACTGATGAAGAAATAAAATCCCCAGCTTTCTGTTAACTTCCCTTCAAATCATAATAAAACAGACACAGGTACTTCTGGTGGTGCGGCTCACACCCTGTGCTTGGTTAGAGAAGAATTACAATCAAGCAAGGTTAATGAATAATAGTTTAAATAAAAAAGAAAAGTATATTATTCTACCAAAATTCATTTACCAAAACAGAATGAGACACATGCAGCCACCCTGCAGGCAGGGCACAGGGCCCCACAGGGTCTCCAGACCTTCGTCCTAACAGGGGAGGCAGCCTCTACTCTCTCCCATGGAGCTGTCTGTGGTTTTGAACTGCCAACATTTTGGTTGGCAGCCAAGCACTTAAACACTGCACCATCAGTGAGCCCCTCAAATTAGTTGAAGACATCTTAGAATCGAATTTTACTCAAATGCCTTTACCAAACAGGATGGCGAATGAAAGCAATGCAAAAGCACAGCGCTTTCCACCCACGAGTAAGTGAACATGCCCAATGCCAATGCCAATGCCGGCACACAGGCTGCAGCTCACAAAGGCGCTTCCCCTCGAGGGCGGCTCTTCCCCTCGAGGGGGCTCTTCCCCTCGAGGGCGGCTCTTCCCCTCGAGGGCAGCTCTTCCCCTCGAGGGGGGCTCTTCCCTTCGAGGGCAGCTCTTCCCCTTCAGGGCGGCTCTGTGTGCACGTTGGCACTGATGGGCGTGGTTTGTGTGTGACATCAGTTGGTCACTTGTTTTGGTGCATGGTGTACAGCGTATGTTTCTGTACATAGAAAACATTAACTAGATGCTTTCAGATACACTAAAGTATCTTCACCATAATAACACAGCGATGGTAATAATCACGTTTTCGATGCTTGTCACAAAGCAGTGCCCATCTGTCCTTATTAACCACTCAACGTACAAATCTCCAATTTTACTACAATAGCCTTTACTGGCGGAGGTGTGTGGTGGTTCACAAATGCAGCTTGTCTGTAAACCGGGCGGCTGTAACTTGGGGTCCACCTGTATTAAAGAATTTGCAGATTACAGTGGTTTCAATAAGCTACGTTCAAATCCGATTCTTTGCAAGCCTCGTGGAAAGACCACGTCCACACGCTGCTCATTTCCAAGGTTTCCTGGTGTGCTGGGGCCGTCTGTGCGAATCGGGAGGAAGCCAGGGAGCAAGCACCCCAAGAAACACCAGTCACAAAATAGTTACAACCTCAGTGCACTTTCTGAGGGATATGCACAGCAGACAAGGATGAAGGGCTTCGCCACTGCACTGAAATGTCGCCAGCTCTCTGTGGCAGTGCCCAGAGGCGGACAACGGGCAGAACGAGGACTTTGGTGAGAAATGGGATGCCTCCACACGGAGGGGTCCAGGAGGGTGTCTTCTTTATGAAGTGAAAACAATAAAATAGACACAGCGTACAACCAGGGTTACGGATCAAGAGTACTTCACACCTGGACATCAAGCATCGTAAATGAAGTCTGAAGACGGGCTCTTAAAACAGCTTCCACCCTCTTACTTCCCAGGAAATCGTTCTCAGCAACAAGTGTTTTAAAAGATCACATTGTTGTCAGCTGTCAGTTGTTAGCTTGGCCTCCTGATGACCTTATGCACTAGGACAGTCCCTGCCCGTCCTGCGACACCCTCCCCCTCCCCCGTGTCCACCGTCCCAATCCAGCCCACTGACGGTCTTCCTCTAAGTAAAAGGTATTTTTCCAAGGACCATCTCCTCCTGCTAACAAGCCCAAAATACATGACACAAAGTCTCGTCATCCTGGCTTCTCAGGGCACGCTGGCTGCACTTCGGCCAAGACAGATCTGTCTGTCCACCTGTCAGTTCCACCTGGCAGTCCACGGTGTGTTCTAGAAGCTTACCAACACACCGTCAGAGAGACTTTGCTTCCGCTCTGTGGACGTCTAGACTGGCAGACAGCGATGCCATCCTAAACCTTCACTCTAATGAAGACTGAACAGAAATGAACTGCAGGTCCATTCATCCCCCTGCTGGCAGGAAGAGCGCTGTGCACGACTGGACGCAGTCATTACTGGGGTTACAACAACTCAGAATCAGAATGGACCATCTTCCCAGAGCGAAGCCAAATCCTGGAGCCTCGGTGTGAGCCCTCCTCTCTCTCCCCTCCGAGAAGAACGCTGTCCGTACAGTGTCCTCGGAAGGAAGGCATCAATGTAGACGAGGCCCTGCTGTGTCTGAGGATGGCAGAGTGGACAATGACACCCTGGCCACCACGTCTGTCCCCAACCACACTACACTCCCTGCACCTCCGAGCATCACAGCTCCTCTTTAAAGTGGGCACCCGCCTCCTGCCCAGCTCCGCCCTGGTCTCGGGGTGCCAGCCACGTGAAGTACACCTCCACCGGATCCACGTTCCAGTGCTTGTGGAATGAGATGGGGACCTGGTGAGCCAGGTAGTCCCGGGGGTAGTCCACTGGCCGGGCCTGCGGGGAGAAGACGGACCATTAGGCTCACACGGATAGAGGGCTGCTGGGCAGCACACAGGGCTGCTGGGCGGCATGCAGGGCAGCATGGGCTGCAGAGCACCCGCCTGCAATCTACGTGATCCAGCGGGCTCTGGGTACGGGCTGGGCTGGACAGGGCTCTGGTTATGGGTTGGGCTGTAACTAAATGGCAGGGATTTGCATTTTCTTTTCTAATTTGAGTTGTTGTTGTTGTTGACTGCTGTCAAGTAAAGCATGACTTATAGCGACCCTATGAACAGAAGGCCTGAAGCCTTTCTACAACTATCGTCATTTATCAAAGTTCATAGAGTTTCCAGAGGCGTGTTGTTTAGGAAGTGGATGCCACTCTATATTGGTTTTTCACTCAATCATTCAAAGACATTCTGTTTTATAACAGTAATTACAGTTGATTAATATAATTATAATGTCTAATAATTTCTTTATTGTATATAGCATTTCCATTTACCCAAAACATGAATTATAATTTATCAATGTAATTCATTATGGTTGTGATTCAATGACTGGGGTAATCGGGATGGGTGTGTCAGAGGCAATGAGATTGACACGGGATAGAGCACGGTTTAGGGCTGTTGTACATACGGTCGCTATGAGTCGCAAACAACTCGAAGGCACATAACAACAACAACAATTCATTATAATGCCTAATCTCTTGGTTTGGTGAGGGTAGGTTGTGGACTGGTTGGTTTTTTTCTTTCACATTTGCTGAATTTAGTCAACAATGAGCTGTGGGCTGGAAGCCTGTCATTTAAAGTTGACCTGATGGACAGGCCTTATATTTAAAAGGTAATTGGGCACTCTGGCCTGCAGCCCTCGGGCCTGGTGTTAACTGTGTTTGAGATGAACATTCTTCTAAGTGGTACAGCACTGGTCTCTCAGTTTGCTGTACTGAAGTAACCTGGGATTGCTCTGATGCTGCACACTGTGCCTCTGGTGTGTAAAATGCCATAATGGTTACTCATCAGGAACAGTGTTTGGTGGAGCTCCCAGATTGAGACAGGCTTGGAAGCAGGAGCGGCATTCTCTTCCTAAACAACTTGCCTCTGGAAACTCTATGAACGTAGAGAAATGAAGATAGTTACAGACCAGTGTTCAGGTCTTTCGTTCACAGGATCATTATGAGTCACCCTCAACTCAACAGCACTAAACAACAACAATCCTAATTCCTTGGAAAGAAGCATCATGTCTGGAAAGATGGAAGGTCAGCAAAAGAGATGACCCTCGATGAGATGGACTGACAGTGTCTGTGGCAACGGACTGAAATGTTATAGGATGATAAGAATGGGACAGGTTAGAGGGGGACAGGATAGATCTGTTGTTTATAGGGCCTCCATGAGTCATACTCACCTCGATGGCACTTAAGCACAGCAATCAATCAATCCTTTATCGTATATTGTCTTTCCCTTCACTCAACAATTTAGAATGATTTTATATGAATATAAGCCTTCCCTTAGTTTTTTATAACTGCTGTCTCACAATTGTTCTTTTACGTTTAAGGATCTGCACTTTCTCAAAAGCTCTGCAGGAAAGAAGTCTTGGGGATCTGCTACCCTAAAGATTAAAGCTTAGGAAACTCTTTAACCTCTGTCAGATGAGACTCTCATGAGCCTAAATAGAACTGACAGCACATTAACAACAGTGCCCTCCATCTACTTACTACCCATCCATCCACAATCCATCCACACATTACCCAACTAGTAATCCACTGATACACCTACCTACCACCCATCTATCCACCCATCCACTTACCTGTCAGCCATCCAGTAATCCACTGACCACTCATCTATCTACCTACCTATCACCCATCTCTCTACTCAGCTGTCAACCAACCACCTAGCTATCTTATCAGCCATCCATCCACTCCCCCATCTAGCAATCCACTCACATCTACCGACCTATCTTATCATCCATCCATCCATCCATCTCTATCCACCTACCTATTTAATCAATCATCTATCCATCCCCTCATCCATCTACCTATCAATCATCTGGCCTTCCACCCTGCCATCCACATACCAGTGTATCATTGATCTATCTATCCACTTATCCATCCATCCATCCACCAACCATCTATCTAGTCATCAGCCTGCTCCATGCACCTACCTAACAATCTACCTACTTACTGTCTTCACTCTCCTTTGCTCCAGATGAGGAGAGATCAATAGTCGCACCTTAGACAGCTGCTCACAAGCTTCTCCATTCCTGTGGCCACTCATCAAAGCAGGATGGTGAACACTGTCCTTGTGGACTAGGTTGTGCCAACTGACTCTGATGTCCCCCAGGACTACAGCCTCCAGTTCCAGCCCAGGAACTCTGTCCCTAAAGTCTCTTTCTTCCTTCAATCCCTGAGGGGCAAATGGACTTTAAGATCTGTCCCCATTCCACTGGCGAGGAACCCAGAGCTCATGGATGGTCACGTGTGTGGTCTTCTGAGGGTTAACTGGGGTGGGGGGGCTATTCCATGACAGCTCCAGGAACAGACATGACAGTGAGGGCAGCACATGTCTGCTTGTTTTCCAAAGTTAAAAATCAACTGCTGGGAACCCGAGAGGACGTCTAATGGGGAAATAGGTCTGTAAGTGCTGAGCGTCCTGTCCATGAAGATTCTAGAGGTGACTGATTGTACCCGGGGGGTCGGGGAGGTGGGCCTGGAGCCGGCATCATAAGCATTAAAATATGCTGGTCATCTCAGGTAAATGGAGGCTGTGGGCAGGAATGAGATACAGTAATTTTTAATTCAAGTCATTCCGCCCAAGGCAACCCCACTTGACCTGAGTGGACCTGCCCTCCAGGGTTCCCTGGGCTGCGGTCTTTCCAGGCGGGGCCACTGGGTCTTCCTGAGAAAGAGCTGGATGGTTCAAACTGACAATCTTCGAGTTAACAGTGGAGTGTTTAGCCACAGGTTCTCACAAACCTCAGAAAGCTCAAACTCCCCGCCAACAAGTCAGTTCTGACCTAGAGCGGCCGTCCAGCATCCAGGGGTTTCCAAGGCTGAGGCTCACGATGAGAATGCCCATCTCTCCCCCAAGGAGCTGGTAGAGGATTTGAACCACTATATTGATTGTTTTCCATTTAAGCCTTATGTTTACTGTCAACAAGGCCTCGGGATGGTCTTCGTATTTAGAAGTCAATTGTATTGTACTGGATTTTGGAGGAACATTCTTCTAAGTGATACAGCATTCTTCTGTCAATATGCGGTACTCAGATAACCTGGGATTGCTGTGATGCTGAACCTTGTACCAGCCAGGTGTCAAATGCCATAATGGCTACTCATGGGTGGTGGACAGTGTTTGGTGGAGCTCCCAGTTTAAGACAGGTTTGGAAGCAGGAGTGGCATCCACTTCTTAAACAACTTGCCTCTGGAAACTCTATGAACTTTGAGAAATGACGACAGTTATAAAAAGGCTTCAGGTCTTCATAGTTTGGCTGTGAGTCATGCTGGACTCAAAAGCCATCAACAACAGCAATCGATTCTAACTCCTAGTGACCTCATGTGACAGAGTACCCAACTTATGACCAGAGGACTCCTGGTGGCATAGTGGTTAAGCACTCTGCCCCAGACAGAAGTATCAAACGTTTGGTGGCACCAGCTGCTTCTTGGGAGAGAGCCCTAATGGTCACTTGTGTAGAGATGGCAGCCTTGGGAAGTCGAAGGACACTTGTCCTGTGTCACCTGGGGGAATTGGTCCACCACAGTGTGATTCACACCCACCCGGCAGCTTCAGAGGAGAGAGGGCTGTCAGTTGGCTTGAAGGTTACAGCTTAGGAATCCTCTGGGGCATTTCGAGCCCTTTACATGGGTCCACGAGTCCAGTCAGCCCCTGAGAGCAGCACAGGACACCGTCCCCTCAGCCCTGGCCCTATCAGAAGGCACTCACCCACCCTTCAAGGAGTGGGAGGTCAAGCCCGGGACTTAGAAAGGCATGTTATTCTCTCTCTCCACTCTTGGTCTCCCTTATACTGTTTGACATAACGGAGAATAGTTGGTTCCGACCGCTGACGTCCCAGGAAGAGACTCTCTGTTAGTAGGAAGTGTGTGAAAGGGACGAGGAGGAGGAAGGGGAGGCAGTCTCTTCCCGTGTGATTCACAGCCTCTAAAACACGCTGGAGGGTCAGCCAAGAGTCAGGTCCAGATCAAGTGCAATGACTTTGACTTTCAATAGGTTCAGTAGTAAATGAGGTGTTGAGCTACTAACCAAGAGGTGAGAGGTTCGAATCCACCAGCTACTCAACCAGAGGAAGCCTGACGGTCTTCTAAAGACTTCCGTCCTGGGAGCCCCAGTGCAGGGGGCTCTGAGTGGAATCTCTCAGTGGCAGTGGGCATTCTGGTTTGGGGACACTATGAGAAGGCAGGTGTCTGCTAAAGAGGGCACAGGTCTCGGGGGGGGTCCCTCCCGCGCGGTGGCTGGGGCTTCAAACCGCTCCCCTTTCATTCAGCAGCCGAGGGAGCGCTTCTCAGCTGCGGCAGCAGGGCCCTCCGGTCTCTCGGTCTCTCACCTGGGCCTTGCTGTTCAGAGTCTCCCATCCCCCCTGCTCCTTCCTCATTACAGACTCCTGTCTTCTTGAGAACGCACGCACTTCCACCTGGTCCACGGGTTTTCCTAGGGTGCCGTTTTGGCTCTACCCAGTTTTCTATCATTGGAAGATGGCAGTGCCACCACTTATTAAACGAGGCATGGAGACGATTTTCAATATAAGGGGGCATTTCAACCACACGTGCCTGGGTACATGTCAGATTTCAAGACAATTTCCATTTCCTGGACGAGAGCCTTAGATGGGCATGGAACAGGGTTATTTTTAGTCCAGGTATGTTTGCTATAATTCTCAGAGCATTAAAAGCATTCAATGACCTGATTCTTCTAAAAAACATTGCTAAAAATAACAGAAACACTCCCTTCTCCAGTCTCAGAGGGCAATATGGTGATGTTATTAGCACTATTTGGGTCGCTGTGAGTTGCACGTGACTTGATTACATTTAACAACCACCACCTCTGGTGGTTGTTAAATGCTGTCAAGTCACCTGCGACTCATAGCAATCCTATGTACAAGAGCCCTAAACCCTGCTCTATGCTGCACCAATCTTATTGTCTCTGGTACACCTACTCCATTACTCCAATCACTGAATCAATCAATCTCATCAAGGGTCTTCCTCTCCTGTGCTGTCCCTCCACCCTCCCAAGCATGATGTCCTTCTCCAGGACTGGTCCCTCCTTGCAACATGTCCCAAGTATGTCAGACAGAACTTCAGAATTCTTGCCTCCAAAGAGCAGCCCGGCTTCACCCTCTCTAGGATGAACCTGTTTGTTCTCCTAGCAGACCATGGTATATATATCTTCCCCAGCACCACAACTCAAAGGCATCAATTCTCCTTCTGTCACACTTAGTTATTGTCCAGCTTTCTGATGCATAGCACACAACTGCAAAGACCATGGCCTGAATCAGGTGCACCTTAGTCTCCAGACTGACATCATTGCTCTTCAGGACTTTGGAGAGGTCTCTGATAGTAGACTTCCCCAATGCAATTTGTCTTTTAATTTCCTAGTCGCTGGTACCAAGAGTGTTGATTGTAGAGCCAAGTAAACTGTAATTGTTAACAATCTCAATGTCTGGTTAGTTAAAAAAAAAGAGAACCAATCCTTTGAAGAAGACATTATGCTGAGGAAGATAAAGGTGGAGGGCCGGCGAAGGAGAGGAAGACCCTCAACCAGGTGGACTGACACAGTGACTGCCGCCATGGACTCAGGTGTGTCAGGACGGAGAATGGCACGGGATAGGACGGGGTTCACAGCTGTAGTTCACAGGGTGGCTGTGAGTCCTCCTCGACTCGATGACACCTAATAACAACAAGCACCACAATGGCCTAGGACACTGTCTTTAAGTCCAAGTCACAGGGACCCCGCAGGACAGAGGTGAGCAGCCCCACAAGGTTGAGGGGAGCTGACTGCCGCACGCTCTCCGATGGGGAGCTCCAAGTGCAAGCCCTTCATTTAGCAGCCAAGTGTTTAAGCCCTGCACCACCAGGGCTCCTAGGTTTAGATCATCACCTTATTATCTTATTGCTGTCAAGCTGGAACTAACTCTTCCTGACCTTCCAGCAGGTTTTCAGAGGCTGTAAATCGAGTGGCAGGAGATGGTCCGTCCTCCTGAGGGGCCCCTGAGGGACTTGAACCTCAGGGAGACGGGGTGTTGGGTCAGCGGCACTGCTCTCTGCAGACCTGGGCTTTGGGTTAACACCACAAAAGCTCCTGGTACTCCTCGATGTTGTTCCTGGTGTGTGCTATCAACCACCGCTCATAAAGATCCCATGAACAAGACCTCCGGATCCTGTCCCAAGTCAACCTCACTGTCTCCAGCACACCTGCCTCCATTACCCCAGTCACTGTATCAGTCCACCCCACCCGGGGTCTTCCTCTTCCGTGCTGTCCCTCCACCCGTCCAAGAGTGATGTCCTTCTCTAAGGACTGGTCCCTCCTGGCCACATACCAACACTATGTGAGACAGAGCTTCAGAATCTTTGCCTCCAAGGAGCAGCTTAATTTCATCCTCTCCAGGACAGAACTGTCTGTTATCTTGGCGGTCCATGACATGCTCAACACTCTATTTATCAATAGCATCTACTGATATTCTAATCTAATATTTAACTATGATCAATTTTTTAACTCACTAGAAAATTTAAGAAAAAAGACAATGTCACTTTTCTCTGCTTACACGGAAGGGCACTGGCCAAACACTAATTTGTTTTCTAGATGTTTCTGCACTCCATATTTATAAAAGCACATGGTGGACTGGACGGTCTTTTAACAATGTTCTCCTGGGGTCTGTTAACTATAGTTTTTCAACTATTCAGAACAAAGCTCAAAAATCACAGAACTGACCAGCTTGCTAGTGTCACAGAGACTGGCTGAACTCCCAAGACTATTCCCTCACCATCCTTGGAGCCTGAAACTAGCGCATCCCCATGACTCACCGTACAGCCCAACAAGGCAGGTCTGTGAACACCACCACCCGGAGTAACTCACACCTCAGAACAATCAGCCACGCAAGAGCTCAGAGGGCAGGAGGGGGAGGAAAGGGCCATGAAGACGAGAGTCTAGGGAGGGACTGGGCTGAACACAGCTGGACGTAACACAACTACGACTGTACTTAACACTCTAAAACGGAATGTGCAGGAATGACTGTAAACTCGACGGTCCTGTGAGATTTCAAATGGAGCCATCCCAGAGAGTCGGGGCAGTGCAGGGTCCCCTCACCTGGTGGAAGAGCGGGCTGTGAGTGGCCGGGACGCCCAGGCCGCTGAAGCACATGCCCAGCACCATGTCGTCGGGCGCGTCATCGCTGTAGCACCGGCACTGGCTGGCCAGGAGCCTCCGGACGGCCTCTCGGCTGAACACCATTCTGTGGGGACAGGGGGAGCAGCCCTGAGTCCTACTGGGCCACAAAGCCCGGCTGGACGGACCCCAGAGCCCGGCTGGACGGACCCCAGAGCCCGGCTGGACAGACCACAGACCCCGGCTGGACGGACCACGAGCCTGGCTGGATGGACCACAGAGCTCGGCTGGACAGACTACAGAGCCTGGCTTGACCACAGAGGCCGGCTGGACGGACCACAGAGCCCGGCTGGACGGACCACAGAGCCCAGCTGGACGGACCACAGAGCCCGGCTTGACCACAGAGCCCGGGGCGGGCCTGATGAGGGGTGGGACAGCTCCGTGTTCCACATGTGATGGGGTGCTCCTGTCTGACTGCTTCCAGCTCCCAGGGGCCCTGCAGGACAGAGCAGAGCCACCCCACCCCCAGGGTTCCCAGGCTGCTGTCTTTAGGGAGGCAGAGCGAGCAGTGGTGTTTTAACTGCTGCACCACCAGGGTTCCCTGCAAGGACCCACAAGGCTAACAAGCCTGCAGGTGTGTGTTATGCTGACCCCACAGCTCTGGGATTTCATCACCATTTCCAGACCAACTCAGGGGGCCAGACCCCTACCGTGTGTGTGAAGCAGGCCTGGAGAGAACTGAGCCACGAGGACAAGAGCAGACTCCAGTGCGCTGATAAACACGTGCCGTGGCCCTCCTCCTCCTCCTCCTTCTTGTCAGGTCCCTCCTCCTCCTCCTCGTCCTCCTTCTCCTCCTCCTCCTCGCCCGCCCCTCCTCCTCCTGATCCATCCTCCCTCTTCCTCCCATCCCTCCTCCTCACCTCAGTGCTGTGACACCACCTGCTCAGTCAAGTCCCCCAGACCCTCAGTACTGGACTGAGCTGCCCCACAGGGTCTGAAAGGCTACAAATCACCATGGAAGCACACAGCTCCAGCGTCCTTCCAGGGAGCAACTGGCGAGCTTGAACTGCTGACCTTTCAGTTACGAGAGCAGTGATTAACCAATGCACCACACACACACACACACACACACACACACACACACACACGTTGCCGTCACGTCTGCCCTGAGCCAGTCTCACTAGAGTCTCTCACACACCTGCCCATGTCACCCCGGTCCTTCTCTCCTTCTCTTTCACACTGTCCCCTCATTCTCCCACGCATGCATAAACCTTCAAACTCATTGCCACTGAGCCACAGCCAACTACAGCTGACCCTCCTGCTGCTTTTCAGAAGCTGTAAATCACCCCGGAGGAGACGCCCATCTTTCTCGCAGGGAGCAGCTGGTGGATTTGAACCACATGCCTTTGGGACTGCTGTGCAGCTTCTTCCCACAAGGCCACCAGAGCTGCATATATGTTGTTATGTCAACTACTCATAGCAACCCTATAACAGATCTGAACCCTGCCCTATCCTGTGCCACCTCTTACTCCCCGATGAGCTCCAACTCACTGTTACCGCATTTCATCAACCCACATGGTGGAAGTTCTGTTGTTGTTGTCGTCGTGTGCCGTCGAGTCGGCTGTGACTCATAGTGACCCTATGTACAGCAGCTCTGAAGCCGCCCGGACAGTCTCACTGAGACCAGCCCTTCCTGGCCATGGGCCCAGAGTATGTGAAATAAAGCTTCAAAATTCTAGCCTTCAAGGAGAGACTGAAATACATACACTTCGATTTTTGCTGCATCTATGTACAGAACCAAAAAACCCCACAAAGTACACTGGCTCGCACAGCATGTGACACCTGACTGAACAGAGCAGGATTCTGTTCTATCCTCGTCTGTGTTTAGGTGATCTGGTGGCGCAGTCCGGAGAGCAGTGCTCTACCAACCAAAGGCTCAACACTCCCAGCACCTCAGCGAGGATGGCGTGAGGCATCTGCCCCGTAAAGGCCGACAGCCTCGGGAAGCCGTCAGGGCAGAGGCCAAGGGGTCCCGCATCTGACTAACGTGAGTAAAGATGCAGGTTATGAGGGGGTAGGCAGGTGACTCTGCAAATCATCCAGTAACCTGACCTGCTGGTGGGTTGGTTTGGTTTTTTTTAAAAAAAAACGTTGGTTCTGAAGCAAATCCTGAGCAAAGTCCACTGTAACATTACAGAGACTACTCAAGCCAGAGGCTTCTGTCTAAGGAGACCAGGACAAGCTCACCAAGGCCCTCCTGCCCCCCTGACAAGCCACTTACAAACAGCGTGTGTGAAAGATGAATACCCCGCGTTTGCGCATTTGTGAATCCATTTATTCACTGAAGCTAAAAACAAGAATCCTTTCATACAACAAAGATGGAAATGAGGCGCAGGTGCTGCTGTCAAAGGATTTATCATTTAGGTGGAAACCAGAAAAGTAAAGATGCAATTAAATGGTAATTGTTCGCATGATACGATCTCAGAGAACAATGGAGAGGCGGTTGTTGGGATGCAGGCTTCCGGCTTGGGCTGGAGGCTCCCGGGAGGAGTCCAACTGGGGGGGGGGGGAGAGAAGAAGTGGGCAGGACAGAGGGGCAGGACACTGACAGGAAGGGACACAGCTGGGTGGGGGTAAGTGGGCAGGACCGATGGACAGGAAAGGACACAGCTGGAGGAGGAAGTAGACAGGACATGGATAGGAAGGGACACAGCTGGGGGGGGGAAGTAGTCAGGACAGAGGGGCAGGACTCGGACAGGAAGGGACATAACTGGTGTGAGAAGTGGACAGGACAGGGAGGGACATAGCTGGGGAGGAGAAGTGGACAGGACGGAGGGGCAGGACATGGACAGGGAGGGACATGGCGTGACAAAAGCCTGCGTGCTACGGAGTCCGTGCCACACAAAGCGCCAGCAGCAGGGGGATCAACCTGCCCCCGACGCCGGTCATCTCTGGAGGTGACTAGAACACCTTACTCTCGCTGAGCAGCTGGGGGATTCGACCTGTCAACCTTCTGGTGAAGAGCTGAGAGTTTTCCTGTGATGATTACAGGCCGGAACACCGTCTGAGGCAGCTCTACCTGGCAGCACGGAGTCCTAACGGCCTGTGGGCACATACAGTCTGACTATATGGCGACCCTACGGGATGGAACTGACTCAGGGAACTTAACAAGGACAACCACACAGGTAACAGATTCTCCTAAAACACCCCAACAGGACAAGGGAGCAAATGCTCCACTGATTTATTCATGAGCTCAGACCTCACTCTTTCCCCAGAGGAGATTAGGCAGATGGTTCCCTTAAAAACATTGATTTTTAACTGTTATTTTAAACTTATATCCCATGCAAGCATCACTTAATTGATTAAACTGGAACTTCAATAATATTTCCTCCCAAATGCAATTTCCTAAGGACTGGATAATTTAAAAGTTGAGCAGTTTCTTTTTGGAAAATTAAAATCTATATCCAATGTTTTGGGTTTTTCCTCCCATCATTTAAACAGACAGTCTCAATTAACTGCTGTTATAAACTATATTGTCTCCAACCACCACCAACACGTTATAAATCCTAACACATACCTAAGTTACATTTCCACTGGGGATGGACCCTCTTTGCTTGTTAGGACACTGGATTAGTGGAGTGCGGGGTAGACAGATGCCTCTTGAACAAACAAGCAGAAAGGGGAAAACATGATTCACAAAACTGTCAAGGAGACTAGAAACGGAAACTCAGACAAGGACCTCTCTCTCCAGAGCGGACAGTAAAACCTACCCCTAGAGGGGAACTCAAGTACTCACTTCTCACCTCCAAACTGTGCTAAAGCCACCCACCTGTGGTGTCCCTGTCACAGCAG